CTAGAAGAAATAGATAAATTTCCGGACACTTACACCCTCCAAAGAGTAAACCAGGAAGAAGTCAAATCCCTGAATATACGAATAACAAGGTCTGAAATTGAGGCAGCAATTAATAGCCTACCAACCAAAACAAGTCCAGGACCAGATGGGTCACAGCCGAATTCTACCAGAGGTACAAAGAGGAGCTGGTACCATTTGAAACTATTCCAAACAATTAAAAGAGAGGGAATCCTCCCTAGCTCATTTTATGAGACCAAAAACGTCGTGATACCAAAACCTGGCAGAGATGCAACAAAAAAAGAAAATTTCAGGCCAATATCCATGATGAACATCAATATGAAAATCCTCAATAAAATACTGGCAAACTGAATTCAGCAGCATATCAAAAAGCTTATCAATCACAACCAAGTTGGCTTCATCCCTGGGATGCAAGGCTGGTTCAACATACACAAATCAATAAATATAATACATCACATAAACAGAACCAATGACAAAAACCAAATGATTATCTCAATAGATGCAGAGAAGGCCTTCGAAAAAATTCAGCAGCTCTTTATGCTAAAATCTCTCAATAAACTAGGTGTCAATGGAACATATCTCAAAATAATAAGAGCTATTTATGACAAACACACAACCAATATCATACTAAATGAGCAAAAACTGGAAGCATTGCCTTTGAAAATCAGCACAAGACAAGGATGCCCTCTCTCACCACTCCTATTCAGCATAGTATTGAAAGTTCTGGCCAGGGCAATCAGGCAAGAAAAAGAAGTAAAGGGTATTCAAATAGGAAAAGAGGAAGTCAAATTGTCTCTATTTGCAGATGATATGATTGTATATTTAGAAGACCCCATTGTCTCAGCCCAAAATCTCCTTAAGCTAATAAGCAACTTCAGCAAAGTCTTAGAATACAAAATCAATCTGCAAAAATCACAAGTATTCCTATACATCAATAACAGACAAACAGAGAGCCAAATCATGAGTGAACTCCCATTCACAATTGCTACAAAGAGAATAAAATACCTAAGAATACAACTAACAGGGGATGTGAAGGACCTCTTCAAGGAGAACTACAAACCACTGCTCAAGGAAATAAGAGAGGACACAAACAGATAGAAAAATATTCCATGCTCATCGTTAGGAAGAATCAGTATCTTGAAAATGGCCATACTGCCCAAAAGTAATCAATGCTATCCCCATCAAGCTACTATTGACTTTCTTCACAGAACTGGAAAAAATACACCTTACATTTCATATGGAACCAAAAAACAGGCAGCATAGCAAAGACAATCCAAAGCAAAACAAAACAAAACAAAAACTGGTAGCATCACACTACCTTACTTCAAACTATGATATACTACAAGGCTACCGTAATCAAAACAGCATGGTACTGGTACCAAAACAGAGATATATAGACCACTGGAACAGAACAGAGGCCTCATAAATAATGCCACACATCTACAACCATCTGATCTTTAACAAACCTGACAAAAACAAGCAATGGGAAAAGGATTCCCTATTTAACAAATGGTGTTGGGAAAACTGGCTAGCCATAAGCAGAAAGCTGAAACTGGATCCTTTCCTTACACATTATACAAAAATTAATTCAAGATTGATTAAAGATTTAAATGTAAGATCTAACATTACAAAAACGCTAGAAGAAAACCTAGGCAATACCATTTGGGACATAAGCATGGGCAAAGATTTCCTGACTAAAGCACCAAAAGTAACGGCAACAAAAGCCAAAATTGACAAATGGGATCTAATTAAAGTAAAGAGCTTCTGCACTGCAAAAGAAACCACCATTAGAGTGAACTGGCAACCAATATACAGGGAAAATTTTTTGCAAACTACTTATCTGACAAAGGGCTAATAGTCAGAATATACAAGGAACTTAAACAAATATACAAGAAAAAAACAACTCCATCAAAAAGTGGATGAAGGATATAAACAGACACTTCCCAAAAGAAGACATTTATGCAGCCAACAAACATATGAAAAAAAGTTCATCATCACTGGTCATTAGAGAAATGCATATCAAAACCACAAAGAGATATCATCTCATGCCAGTTAGAATGTGATCATTAAAAAATCAGGAGACAACAGATGCTGGAGAGGATGTGGAGAAATAGGAACACTTTTACACCACTGGTGGGAGTGTAAATTAGTTCAACCATTGTGGAAGACAGTGTGGTGACTCCTCAAGGATCTAGAAATAGAAATACCATCTGACCCAGCAATCCCATTACTGGGTATATACCTAAAGGATTATAAATAATTATATTATAAAGACATATGCACACGTATGTTTATTGCAGCACTGTTCACAGTAGCTTGGAATGCCAACCCAAATGCCCATCAATGATAGACTGGATAAAGAAAATGTGGCACATATACACAATGGAATACGATGCAGCCATAAAAAGAGAATGAATTCATGTTGTTTGCAGGGACATAGGTGAAACTGGAAACCATCATTCTCAGCAGTCTGACACAAGAACAGAAAACCAAACACCGCATGTTCTCACCCATAAGTGGGCATTGAACAATAAGAACACACAGACATAGGGAGGGGAACATCACACACTGGGGTCTGGGGGGTGGGAGGCTAGGGGAGGAATAGCAGAGGGTGGGGGGATTGGGGAGGGATAGCATTAGGAGAAATACTAATGTAGATGACGGGGCGATGGAGGCAGCAAACCACCACCATGGCACCTGTATACCTATGTAACAAACCTGCATGATCTGCACATGTACCCCAGAACTTAAAGTATAATAAATAAATTTTTAAAAATAGCAAAGACTTGGAACCAAATGCCAATCAAGGATAGGCTGGATAAAGAAAATCTGGCACATACACACCACAGAATACTATGCAGCCATAAAAAAGGATGCGTTCATGTCCTTTGCAGGGACATGGATGAAGCTGGAAACCATCATCCTCAGCAAACTGACACAAGAACAGAAAACCAAACACCATATGTTCTCACTCATAAGTGGGTGTTGAACAATGAGAACACATGGACACAGGAAGGGGAACATCACACACCAGGGCCTGTTGGAAGGTGGGGGGCTAGGGGAGGGATAACAGAGGGGTGGGGGGGCCAGTGGGGGATAGCATTAGGAAAAATACCTAATGTAGATGACAAGGTGATGGATGAAGCAAACCACCATGGCATGTGTTTACCTATGAAACAAACCTGCATGATCTGCCCATGTACCCTAGAACTTAATGGATAATAATAATTAAAAAAACGAAACAGAAAACAACAAATGTTGTCATAGATATGAAGACATTGGAAACTTTGTGCATTGCTGGTGAAAATAGAAAGAGATACAGCCACTGTGGAAAACAATATGATGGTTCCTAAAAAATAGAATTACCATTTATTCTAGCAATTCCACTTCTATGTATATACACAAATGAATTGAAAGCAGAGACTCAAACAGATACTAATTTACCAACATTCATAGCACCATTACTCACAATAGCCAAAGAATAGAAGCAATCAAGTGTCCACAGATTGATGAAAAGATAAGCATGTTATATGCATACACTGGAATATTATTTAGCCTTAAAAAAGAATGAAATTCTGTTACAACATTGATGAACCTTGAAGATCTTATGCTAAGTAAAATAAGCCAGTTACAAAAGGTCAAATATTACATGATTATACTTATATAAGGTGCCTAGAGTCAGAAAGTAAAATAGTGGTTACCAGGAGTACAGGAAAGGGATAATGGCGAGTTTGGGTTTAGTGAGTATATAGTTTATTCAGGCTGACATGATGAAAAAGTTCTGGCAATGGAAAACATTGCTAATTACACAACAATGTGAATGTTCTTCATGTCACTGAGCTGTACACATAAACATGGCTAAAATTGGAAATTGTATGTTATGTATATTTTACACATTAAAAATATAAAATTAAGATTATTTGCTGAAAGAATTGAATGAATGTGTTTTCTCTTTTTGTTACAGTTGTAAGGAATTTTAATATTAAACGTAATAACTGCTTTCTTCTTTTCATAATTGTGGGGATTTCTTTTAAGGATCATTCTAGACAGATCCTTCATTGCAAGGTGCCTCACATCTTTCTGGTAAGCAGATAACAATATAGATTTGTTAAATGAGAAGGAAAAACAAGGGGAAATAAAGCCTCCTGGTCTCACCCCTGTGAGTTAGTTACTTACTGCTGAAATTCCAAGGGCCTTAGTTCATATTTCCATTATGTCACTTAATATGCTTTATCATAATTTGCTTGTTTTTTTAATTTTTATTTTTTATTTTTAGAGATTGAATCTCACTCTGTCACCAAGGCTGGAGTGCAGTGATGCAATCTAGGCTCACTGCAACCCCCGCCTCCCTGGTTCCAGCAATTCTCACGGCCTCCTGAGTAGATAGGATTATAGGTGTGCACCACCACACCTGGCTAATTTTTTGTATTTTTAGTAGAGACAGGGTTTTGCTATATTGGCCAGGCTGGTCTTGAACTCCTGGCCTCAAGTGATCCATCTGCCTTGGCCTCCCAAAGTGCTGGGATTACAAGTGTGAGCCACAAGGTCCAGCCATAATTTGTTCCTTTCTCTCATTTTTCTCAATAATCTATGTGCTAATGGCGGACTATGTCTTAATCAATTATCTTTCACCCAAGTTTAGCAAATTGACTCTATCATCAATAATTATTGAGGAGTGCTTCTCATTCTGTGATAGAATGATTCTACATTAGAATGGTAGTTAGGAGGCGGAGGTTGCGGTGAGCCAAGATCGCGCCATTGCACTCCAGCCTGGCTAACAAGAGCAAAACTCCATCTCCAAAAAAAAAAAAAAAAAAAAAAAAAGAATGGTAGTTGACAGAACCATTTTTGAAGAACAGCAATCAAAGGAGACACTATTGATTAATTTTCAAGTAAGAGGTGAGGTTAAATGCAAGGAAAAGGGGAGCAGGCCTGGGGCCAGGGATTTGAAGTATATGCCATGCCTTCAAAGTAATTCTTACTTTCTGTGCCATCTGCTTGCAGTTGCTCTTCTCCAGGTTTCTGTTTAAATTTCATGTTTCCAAAGTGCATGATGGCCCCAGTGAGTTTATAGCATCCATACTTCTCATCAGGAAGAAAGCCCAAGATGTCCATGGCTTGCTGTAAAAAGGGAAACAGATGGCCCTGTCTTCATTTGCCTAATGGCTGCAGTGTGCACCTCACCCCCACTGTGTTACACCTCAGGCTGTGGGCTGAAGGGAAGGAGACAGACAGCTTTGTTCAAAGCAATGCAAATCAGCCCTGCTGGCACTTGGTCACCCACAGATTGCTCATTCCTTTAAAAGAGAATTAGGAAGGCACAAGACTAGGCTTGTTTAGTTCCCAGTAGTTTTATAACTCTCCTTCAATGCCCTGCCCCTCTCTTGTTCCTTCCCACAACAGATCACTTACTGGCTATATGAGGTCAATTATTTTGCCTTTCGTGGTTATGGCAGAAAGCACCATATCTGCTGGGTTGCTTATTTCTGTGGTCCCACATGTTCTTCTGACTTTATTCCAGAGCAGACACATTTCAAAGACTGGTGAAAGGAGATGTTTAAGAAAAGCCACCTCCCCATAAAACTGCAGCCTAAGAATCCGCTGCACAAGATGTGCATTCTCATACTCTTCAGGAGGGAAGAAATTGGTACCATCTTTCTGAGGTTAAGTTAGAATGTGTACCAAGAGACTATAAAAAATTCATAATCCTTAGTATTTTCACATCTAGGAATTTAGCATAAGGGGAATCTAGTATACAGAAAAAGTCTTTAGCTACAAAGATATTCACCTCAGTGGGGGTGATAAAACAAACCAAAAAACTTGAGTCTAACACTAGGAGAATAGCTCAATAAACAACAGGACCTATGGGAGTCTTGAGTTTCCACTTAAATGTTTTCAAAGAGTTCCTAATGATACTTGAAACGCTTAAACGATTAAACTGAGAAAGCAAATTCTATATGCCAAATGTATATGCAGCATAATTGCAGTCTTCGATAAGAAAACAAAAAACACTAACATGACCATACAAAAGCAGCTGCAAATAGATACAAACAGAATAAAGACTATAAAGATATACATAAAATAAAAGAGATGTTTGCCATTGAGTTAAAATATCTTTCTTCTTTTTTATAACTTCCAAGTTACTATATTGGCAATGTGGAGTTTTCTCATAAATAAGCAAACTTTGGACAGAAGGAGCCCTACACCCCTAGCGGAAGCAAAGTCGTTTCTCCGGATCCCCAAAGAACAGAACTGTAAAATGCTGTCTTTCATTTCTCATTGCCATTACCAGATTTTGCTTTGACAATTAACAAGCCTTACTTCTGTGGCCAGCAATTCTTCAGCATCATCCAGGCTCTCCACAGCAACTACTCCACAGGAGCAAAAGTGAAAGTCTGAGGGGTCTGCAGACACCAGGAGCATGTCTACAGCGGGAAAACCATTCATTAAACAGCTTAAAGAAATCCTCAAGGCCTTAGAAAATAATTGAACAATATTCACAGTTTACTCTTACAGCTTATATCGTACTTGTAAACAAACCAAAATAAAATCCGTATTTTAGACCCAAACGTCTACAGTCAATGTTTGCCCTCTATTAACTTGTCAGTCATGTATTAATGCCTCCCAAGAGACGACAGGCTGGCAAAATCCAAAAGCAGATTCAATTGCAGCAGTTTCAATTGGTGCAAAAAAAATAAAAACAAACAAACAAAAACAAAACCAGATAATGTGTGTTGGGAAAACTTTGAAAACAGGAATTTGGCCTAGATTTATGACTAAGGGCTGGAGGACAAAAGTATTTTGTAAAATTACAAGTAGAACGGACCTGAGCTTCGAAAGCTAGGAAGCAGCCAGACGCTGGGGTCAGCGCTCAGGGATCATTAGCAGGGCAACCCTGTCACATCACATCCTTGCTATTACGGAGCTGAGTCTGTCTTTCAAGGGATCCATAAATCAGCTGCTGTGTTCAGTGCGGCACCCTGATATGTCTAAGAGTCCTGACATGATTCACTTAGTCAGGAAACATAATGCAGGCTGAAGCAGAGGCAGGCTGTCAGCCGCACATCATCAACTGACTTGGCAGAATCACATTAACCTCTCACTGCTCAACACTTGCTCCCAATGAAGTTTTTTTGAGCTGATCTTATTTTTCTATTTATTGCTTAGTGAAGTGAAAATTGGTTATCTTGAACCCCATATTTCAGAAATGAAGAAATTGGGCTACACAAATGTTCATAGTAGCTTTGTCAGAAAACAAGTCAAATGTCCATCTGCAGTTGAATGGGTTAACAAACTGTTGTATATCCATGCAGTGGATTGCTATTCAGCAAACGAAGGAATGAACTATGAATACATGCTGGAAATGGAAGAATTTTTAAATAATTATGCTGGGTGAAACAAGTCCGACAAGAAGAATGTGTACTTTACGATTTTGTCTTTAAACATCCTAGAAAATGCAAACTAACCTATGGTGACAGGAAGCATATGAGCGGTTGCTTAGAGAATGAGGCTGGGAGAGGAGGGCTCTGAGTGAGAAGGGGCAGGGTAGAGGTCTTATAAAAGATTCAAGGACACTTTGGAAAGTACACATGCATTATCTTGATTGTGGTGATGGTTTCATACACATGCATATATATGTTAACATTTATCTGTTACATACTTAAAATATGTGCAGTGTACTTTAGGTGATAAGTACTTCAATAAATTTGTTTTATAAAACTTTAAAAATAAAAGAAAATGGCCTAGCTTAAATCAAGCAGAAGGTGAATATACGTATTTCAATTAAAATCTCCTTTAAAATTTTTAAAGTACTTGTTTTTTAAATCATTTTTATTTTTTAAATCGATAATGTAAAATTGTATATATTTATGGGGTACAGTATGATCTTTTGAAATATGTATACATTGTGGAACAGCTTATTCCAGCTAAGTAATGTATCCATCACTTCATATACTTTTTGGTGGGGGGGGGTGAGAATATTTAAAATCTACTCTGTTGGCCATTTCAAGTATATAATATATTGTTATTAACCATAATCACTATGCTGTACAGTAGCTCTTCTGAATTTATTCAACTTTTTTAGATTCTACATGAGTGAGATCACGTAGTATTTGTCTTTCTGTCCCTGCCTTATTTAACTTAGCCTAACGACCTTCAGGTCCATCCATGTTGCCATACTTGACAAAAGTCACAAGATTTTCTTTCCTTCCTTTCTTTTTGTTTCTTTCTTTTTTTCTCTTTCTTCTTTTTTCTTTTGTTGTTTTTCTGAGACAGGGTCTTACTCTGTCACCCAGGCTAATGTGCAGTGGCATGATCACAGCTCACTGAAGCCTCAATTTCCCAGGCTCAACTGATCCTCCCACCTTAGCCTCCCTAGTAGCTGAGACTACAGGTGCATACCACCATGCTCAACTCATTTTTTAATTTTTTGGAGAAATGGGGTCTTGGCCAGGCGCAGCAGCTCACTCCTGTAATCCCAGCACTTTGGGAGGCCAAGGTGGGTGGATCACCTGAGGTCAGGAGTTCAAGACCAGCCTGGCCATCATGGTGAAACCCCATCAAAAAAAAAAAAAAGAAAGAAAGAAACGGAGTCTTGCCATGTTGCCCAGGCTGATCTTGAACTCCTGGGCTCAAAGTAATCCTCCCTCCTGGTCCTCCCTAAATGCTGGGATTACAGTCATGAGCTACCATACCCAGCCAAGATTTCCCTTTTTTTTTTTTTAAGGCATGGTAGTATTCTATTGTGTGTATATACCACATTTACTTTACCCATTCATCCTTCATGGACACACAGGTTGTTTCCCTACATTGGCAAATGTGAATAATGCTACAATGAACATGGAAGTACAGATATCTCTTCAGGATACTGAGTTCAGTTTTTTTTGGATGTAGTGAGATGACTGGATCATATGGTAGCTCTATTTGTAATTTTTGAGGAACCTTCATACCATTTTTCATAATGGCTTTAATAATTTACAGTTGGCTCAAAGGTGAACAACAGCTCCCTTTTCTCCATATCCTTGCCAACATTTGTTACCTCTTGACTTCTGATAGTAGCCATTCTAGCAGATGTAAGACAGTACCTCACTGTGGTTTTTGTTTTGCATTTCCCTGATGATTATTGATATTGAGTCCTGTTAGCCATTTGCATGTCTTCTTTTGAAAAATGTCTGTCAGGTCCTTTAACCATTTTTTAATCTGGTTTTTTTCTTGCTATAATTGAGTTCTATATATATTTTAGATATTAACCCCTTATTGGATGTACAGTTTGCAAATATCTTTTCCCATTCATTCAGTAGATTCTCTCTTGATGATGCATGATTGTTGTATACTTTATGAAGTGAATACTCAGAGTATGAGGCCAAATGTCAAGGATTCCAAGATGGAAGGACCACTATGTCACTTACCATCACTCCTGGAATTTATACACTAGTTGAATAGCAATAATAGCTACAATATAAATAAAAAGAAAAAGTTAAAAAAAAAAAGAGGAGAAAAGGGAAGATATATGTAGGACCAGGCTATATAGATGGCAGTGAGAACTAAGGATTTTGAAAGAGCCTTGTCCAAAAGAATTGAAGAAGTGAGTCTTAGCTATGTCTGAAACAAGGGTCAGATGTAATTGAGAGCAAAGGGGTGAAGGGGTGCTCATGGCCATGCAGAGGTCAAATAGGGGCTGGCTCTGAGGTAACATGTCACCTCGTTCCTTGGTTCCTTCAGAGCGTGGCCAACCTCTCTGCTGTGATTTCTATACCCAATTCTTTCATCGTATGGACAAATCCTCTTATTTCGGGATATTTGGACATCATCCTCGTATTGCTAAGATAAGCCTTCTTGTATTAAGCCTCAAGGTACTCTGAAGCTCTTCTTTGTCAAACACGGATGGTAAGAATTCCAGATCATCTTTTAAAATGTCCCTCAAAAGAACAATGGGTGCTGAAACAGGTAGACCAACAATACCCAATTTGGACCACCAGATGTCAGGCTTTGCACGGTAATCAATCTCAGCAACCCCCAAAGATTGAAGATAAATGAATTCAGGATAAACATGAATTTTCCATAGCAGACCAAAGGCATCAGATGCTTCTACTAGTAAACAGAGAGGCTCTGAAAATTATCTTGCAGTCTCTGCTAGTACCCACATTAGATCTTATGTGTCAATTGCCCTATACGAGGCAGAAACACATGCCAAGAGTGTTAGATTTGATAGGGCTAATCAATGGAAGACCAAAAAAAGTCCCGTTCCAGGTTGAGGTGGAGAGAAGGTGGGAAGGAGAATACACACTGCTTACACCAATTACGTCTATGGCGAAAATGACTGTCTAGTTTGCAGAGCTTTCCCCATTTGGGTAAGGGTACATTAAAGACCAAGTAGTCAAAACACTGCTAAATTTATACCATACTTAATCTAAGCATAATGGACTGGAATAATTGTTCCCATCAGTTTGCTAGCCTGGATCTGTAATCTTATCCTACGTCCACTTCTGTGGTAGCATTGTTATCTTCAAAGACTTTCCTCAAATGTAATACCTTGGAAATCTAATCAATGTGTCATTCTTCATTTCCAGTGACTTCCTATGCCACTTTAAACTCTCTGCCATGGTCTGCAATGTGCTGCATGATCTGGTCCCTGCCTACTTTACCCATTGTTACCCTCTCTACTCTACCACCCACAGTGGCCATTTTGCTATTCCAAGAATAAATCAAATGCATTCCTGACTCGGGACCTTTGCACTCACTGTTCCCTCCTCCTGCGATTTTATTCCTGAAAATCTTTGCCTGCTTGCTCCCTTACTCATTGAGGTTTCTGTGAAAATGCTGTCTTTTAGGAGAAACTCCCTGACAATTTCATCTGCAATAGAACTATCCACAACCCTACCAAACTCCTTTTCTTCCTATCCCCTCACAGTATTTTATTTTTCTTTATAGATGTGCTGTATAACCTACAAAGAAATTACATCACATATTTTTTTCTTTTTTGAGACAGAGTCTTACTCTGTTGCCCAGGCTAGAGTGCAGTGTTACATTCTCGGCTCACTGCAACCTCCGCCTCCCGGGTTCAAGTGATTCTCCTGCCTCAGGCTCCTGAGTAGCCAGGATTACAGACACCTGCTGCCATGCCTGGCTAAGTTTTATAGTTTTAGTAGATACTGGGTTTTACCGTGTTGGCCAAGCTGGTCTCAAACTCCTGACCTCAAGCAATCTACCTGCCTCAGTCTTCCAAAGTGCTGGGATTACAGCCATGAGCCACCATGCCCAGCCTAGATCATATATTCTTTGTTTGTTTGTTGCCTGTCTTCCATGCGAGACCGTAAGCTCACAAGCGCAGAGGTCTATCTTGTTCACCACTATACTGCCCATGATTAAAAAGCAATGCCTGGTTGATGTACACATAGCAGCTCCATAATAAGTATTTGTTGAATAAATATGTGAAATGTATGCCCTTATCCCACAATTATTTGTTTCATTTTCTGTTTATGGCACTATCATCCTCTTAATCAAATTCCAAAACTTGTGGATATTTTTGACTCATCACTCTTCCTCATTCCTATATTCAATCACTACCAAGACCTGTCTATCCGTCCATGCATCTATCCCTTCCCCCGACCCTTCCATTCCCAGACACAATCTTAGATCGCTGACTTGTCATCTCATCCTGGGACATTTGCAATCCCTTCCATCCAAACCTCTGCCTCCACACCATCCTGCCCATCACACCAGCTTCATCATCCCAAACCCTGCCCTCAGTAAATCATGACCTTCTATTGCCTCACCCCCACAACACAGTGACACACTGGCTCTACCAACCCCGAGTCCAGATACCGTCAGAATACAATCTCCATATTCCTCTATGCGAACCATTTCCGTCAGTCGAGCTGCTCTCTCCGTTCCCTGCTCCTGCTTTCCCTTTCCTGACGTTGTGTACACTCTTCCTCCTACCAGAAGTAGCCTCCACTCTTCACTCTGTCTGACTGAATCCCCTTCCCATTCTTCATATCCCACCCTAAATTCCCCTTCTTTATAAAACTCCCTGAGCCAGACACGGTGGTTCACACCTGTAATCCCAGCACTTTGGGAGGCCAAGGTGGGAGGATTTCTTGAGGCCAGGAGTTTGAGACCAGCCTGGCCAACATAGTGAAACTCCATCTCTATTAAAAGAAAAAGAAAAAAAGAGAGAAAACTCACATTGACCACCACACACTATGATACTAGCTTCCTCCCCTGGCCTCTTGTCTATACCACCCATGTAGCTCTAACGAAGGCCTTCAATTAATGCTTTTACACACGTACATATACACACACTCACTTACTCACTCACCTTTGCTGGGCATCATACCCTCTTTCAAACACTCTTCTTCCTTTTGCTACCAAATGTCAAAATAAGTGTTGCCATTTACTGTCTGTTCATGTAAAATTACAGAACACTAGTTCTATAATTGGTTCAATTCCCTAAGTTTTAAGGATGGATATTCTGAGGTCTACAGAGGCTAAGAAACTTACTGAATAACACTTCTTCATTTCCCAAATATGATTTCTTTCCCTGGTTTTGGAATAACCCTAAGCTCCAGAATCTTACACTTACCACAGAGCTCTTTTTGTCCAGATAGAATCTGATAGAATATGTGATAGTTCCTCTCTCCAGGCTGCTGGAAAATCACCCTGGACTTTTCAAGCAAATCTGGATGATGAGAAATGAATAAAGATTCATACTTAGATGTTCTTGCAAACCACAGAAGAAAAGTAATCAAGCTGAGTGCAGTGGCTCACAACTGTAATCCCAGCATTTTGGGAGGCCAAGGCAGGAGGATCACTTGAGGCCAGGGATTTGAAACCAGCATTTATAACATAGTGAGACCCCATTTCTACAAAGAAAATTTTTAAAAATTAGCTGGGCATGGTGGCACATGCCTGTAGCCCCAGCTACTTGAGAGGCTGAGGTAGAAGATTGCTTGAGCCCAGAAGTTTGAGGCTGCAGTGAGCCATGATCATGCCACTGCACTCCAGCCTGAACAACAGCGAGACCCTTGAAAGAAAGAGAGAAGGAAGGGAGGGAAGGAGGAAGGGAGGGAGGGAGGGAGGAAGGAAGGAAGGAAAGAATAAAAGTAATCAGATAGTTCAATGACTACTTACAGATATTAATGTCCACAGATGACAGCATTCCTCTGGCACCAAAGTGCATCCTGATGAATTTGCCCTGGTGTGAACACAGAATACAGTCTCCTATTCAAACTTTCCAAATACTTGCAATGGCTTCATTGTATGTAACTCTCAAAACGACTACTTCCCCAAAAGAAAAAATAAAGAAAGAAAAATGTAATGTGTGTTTGAGATGAGATAGCACCAGCTAATCTCTGAAGGAAGCCAGAATAAGTATACACTATTCTGGCTTCTAGCCCCAGATCTGCTGGTTGCTACCTGCGTGTTTTTGTGGGCACTGTGAATTGTGAAATGTCTCTGGGTCTCACTGTTCTGATCTAAAGATGAGAAAAATATTTCCTCAGCATATTTATTTATTCATTCAACAAATATTCATTGAGTATCTACTAAGATCCAGGAAACCTTCTAGGCACTGGAGATACCACACAAGAAAAACAGACATGAATCTTATAGTCTAATGGGTAAGCAGCTAATAGCTCTGACATAAAACTCACAAGAAAAGCCAGTGTCCTGGAACTTACAAAGTCAGAGAAAAGGGGGCATAAAATGGAGTCGAAGAGGTAGACAAAACTCCATGTCATGTAAGCCACGTAGAACACAGGAAAGAGTAGGGTTTTATTTTATGTGTGCTTGGGAGACATTGTAAGGTTTTAAGCAGAGGAATGATGTGATCTAATTTATGTTTCAAAACACACCTTGGCATAAATAATAGATGAACACCCTTTCTTCCTTATCACTGAAAACCTGGAAGGCAGGCTCTAGAGGGGCAGAAATGCCATCCAGAGGTGCCAGGGCCCATGTCAGAATGTCAGATGCAGTTGAGAAGGTGGCACCATCTGATGGCAGCTAGAGCCTGTGGGATGAGGATGCTGGAACAGGGAGGAAGGCAGCCTGGTGGCGGGGGACCGTGCCAGAAAGGCATCACGGCAGGACAGCAGCCTGGCAAGGGGAGGTGAGTGGCTCTGTACAGAGGGATCCAACTAGTATGTTAAAATACGTAGGACAGTAGGAGTCACACACACAAACACACATGAATACAAATGTGCAGGTACATATATATGTGTGCACATGCACATATACAGAGGTATATGTATACATACCTATTCAGTATTAATTGGAAATTTTAGCCCAGATTTCTTGATTGTTTTTGAACTCCTTTCTCTTTTTCCTTCTCTCTTCTTTCTTTCCTTCTATTTATCTATCTTTAGTTTATTTTCCTCCTCTACTTCTTTCCTTCCATCTTTCCAACTTTTGTCTCCTTTCTGTTCTCTTTCCATTGCTTTCTTTTCCTCCTTATCTTTTGTTTAAGGCAAGTTCCACCTCTGTTGCCCAGGCCAGAGTGCAGCTGTATGATCATAGCTCATTGCAGCCTCAAACACCTCGGTTCAAGCCATCCGCCCGCCTCAGCCACTCAAGTAACTGGGACAACAGGTGTACACCACCACTCCAGGCTATTTTTTTATTTTTAGTAAACACAGAGTCTCACTGTGTTATCCCGACTGATCTTAGACTTCTGGGCTCAAGTGATCCACTCACTTCGGCCTCCCAAAGTGCTAGGGTTACAGGCCTGAGCCAATACACCTGGTTACTTTTCTTTCTACCTGATGTTTGTCCCTTTCTCCCTTTTGTTTTTCCTTGTCTTTCTTTCTTCTTATCTTTTTTAAAATTTTATTTTTCCATCCCTCTATTCTTTCCTTTTTCCTGCCTTGCATTTTTCCCAGCTTTCTATCTTTCAGATTTCAGCAGAAAGTCCTTTGGCATTCTAACAAATCCCAAATCTAGCAGTTGTTTTATGAACTAGTGTTAGCACCTGCTATGACCAGCCAGACACTGTAAGCACATCTAAATGTGGACAGAGCAGCTCTAAGGCTTTGGATGGAAACTAGCGAAATCAGCATGAGGCTATTATTTAATTATGCCCAGAGACTCACACAGGATGCCTTCTGCAAATTTTCTTGTAAATTATACAGTGGCTCCCTGCCACTCATTCTTGGCATAATATGGATTTGTTAAACTAGGTTTAGAAATCCAAATTCTTCCTCCATCATGGGACTTCAAGTTAGCAAAAGCTACTTAAAAATACTTTCTCCATACCCCCCAGAAAAAGCTTCCAGTGAAAAATATGCAGGGACAAGGAGGCCACAGCCAAAAGTACAAACCGTTAATTATAGTAAGCGAATTAGGAAGTGCCTACTAAATTGACTTGTTATAAAGAGTTTAGGAAATTATGAAGGAGAAAGTATTTCAAATACGTAAAATGTAATAAAATATAAAGCATTATTATAATTTTTTTGGTGAGCTTCTCTAATGGGAGTGGAATTTGAAACTATTAAGATAAATGCTTTTTTCTTGGAATTGACCAAATAGGAACTCTTCAGATGCATATTTATTTATAAAATTTTAATTGTCTTAATGACATAGATGGTAATTATTTTTGAGAAATAACATTACAGACTTTAATCAAAGACCTTCCATGGTGTCCTAGAATGTTTTTCATACCTATGTGCTTAGATATGAGTTTTACCATTGCTTACAAATGAAAGACTTTGAGATTATGGCAAATCATGTTACTTACAAAACGAGAAGAGTTGTCATTTCTCAGGGTTTTTGCATTTCCAAATGCTTCCAAGATAGGATTCGCTTGCATGATCTGATCTTCTAACGGCCCCTGAGATACATGCAAGAGAAGTACAGCTGCTGAAGCTATTAGCAGAATTCTGTAATATGGCAAGCCCTCCATCCCCAGGTCAAACCTCATTCTTGCTTTCATAACCAACGGCCAAAAGCTGCTTCCAAATTTGGTTATATTATCTTGGAATGAGGAATCAGAAAAACAGATGGATGAGAGAGGCTGACAGCACACAATACCCCTATGAATATGTGGGAGCTCATTTATTTGCAATGCTTCTTTTTTGGGTGGCATTGGCCTGAGTGGGAAAAGAAAATGGTCACCAAATAAAAAAAGAAAAATGTACCAGACCTTATTTCCAGACAAACGTTATATCATCTATTCTGCCCATTATTAATCTTCCATCTGATCTTCACACCTGGAAATTTATCCTAGGATGGTACAACAGACTCTTGGTATTATGAAGCTATACTTTTGCTTGCTTCTTTTCCTAAGCAATATGGAGGTTCACACCATGTAGTGACTTTTAATAGTAATGATCTTGAATTTGAATCATGGGTGCTCAGGCTGATGGGCCCAAACAGATCGTCTATGTATCTACCATATCTACATGGTTTTGTTGTTTTCTTCAGCCTCAAAGACCCAATTAATGGGGGTAATTTTATAGTACACAGTGTTCAATAATTTATGGATTTATAAATATTATATCCCTTCTCAGTAATATGAGTTTATTGTCCTTCAAATAAGTTAGAGAACATTGTATATATGGGCAGAGATTTCCATAGAAGTGTTATGTATTATGTATTGCATTATATATTATCATGAAACTCAATGGCTAGGCCAAACCATTTAATGCACACCCAAAAAAAACCCACAAAAAATCTAAAATGCTTGTAAACACAAAGTTTTACCTAGTGAATAAAAGAGTTAAATGATATCCAATGAATTCAATAATCGAATTCAGGAATGTGATGGTTAGAAAAGAAACTTCTATAGTTTAAAAATTGGGCCGGATGGCTATTGTTTTTTTGTTTTGTTTTGTTTTGTTTTGTTTTGTTTGACATGGAGTCTTGCTCTGTAGCCCAGGCTGGACTGCAGTAGTGCAATCTTGGCCCACTGCAACCTCCACCTCCTGGGTCCCAGTTCAAGCAATCTCCTTCCTCAGCCGAGTAGCTGGGATTACAGAAACGTACCACCATGCTCAGCTAATTTTTGTATTTTTAGTAGAGACGGAGTTTCACCATGTTGGCCAGGCTGGTGTTGAACTCCTGACCTCATGATCCACCCGCTTTGGCCTCTCAAAGTGCTGGGATTACAGGCGTGAGCCACCGTGCCTGGCTCAGATGGCTATTTTAATATATTTCTTACTTTGCAAAAACAGCTGACAACATCCAGTATCAAATTGAAAAAGGAAAATAATCATGCCAGACATTTTTCTGTAAAAATGAGAGGTCTAACAGCGTAATAACTCATTGATTTTGAGTTCTATTCAGCATTATCTAATTTTATTTTGCATACCAATGTTTATGGTCTTAGTTATTCTCAAGTTATTACGACGTTCATTAACATGTTAATGGAGCTAAACAAAGTAAGCTAAGCTAAAATCAACAAGGATTTTTTTTTTTTTAAATAGGGAAGGCAAAGCTTTTCTGGACATTGTATGTGATTAACATTGAGGGTATGTCCATTAGGCATTTAGAATTTGATCCAGGCATTAGGTATGAATGAAGCAAACTTTTATTGGTCCATCTGTGTGGGAACCTGATATCTCAAAGTAACTAAAGGGATTCAGAAATATCCAAGCCACGGATGACCCTAGCCTTCAGGTAAGATGGTTTGAATGCTGAGGACATAACTTACAGGTCCAACAAACAAAGATCAGACCAGAAATGCCCTTTTAAGCAGATGTGAGATTAATTATGTAATTCATGTTTTCATGTTGTTGTTTGAAGCACTTGATAATCCTCTCAAGGAGCAAAGGAAAGATTTAAAAATGTACTTGTCTATAATTTGCAAATTGTCCTGCAGTGCCTGTTGCCTCCCTACTTCCCAAAGGTAGTCAGGACAGAGCCTCCATGCTCCCATGGATAGGGTCACCTTATCTTTTCTGCCAAGATACATAAACACTTACCGACTTTTTCCTGGGTTCACTCACGGCAGCTATGGTGACAAAATACTGGATAATACATTTGCTGTTCACAGTCTTTCCAGCACCAGATTCTCCTCTGTGATTTGAAATTCAGTGACACAGTTTACTGGTTCTGATTATCAATGCAATGAAAATTGCCATGGCAAGCAGGGAAGCTTTACATAAAAGTAGAGCTGCAGATGGAACTTGAGGATATATTGACATTTACTTGGTTGGGAGAAGGGCAAGGGCATTTCAGGCTAGAAAAATAGCCTGAGCAAAAATCTGGAGATAGGAATATCACAACTTTTTGTAAATATTAGGTAGCCTGTTTCTTGTGGTCCCAATAACAAAAAGCAGGACAGCACCTCCCCTAACTAGTCAAGTCTCCTCACTATCAGCTGTTCAAGAGATTTTCATGTGTAAAGGCTACCACATGGCCAAGTCCAACCCTCTTCTCAGAAGAAGGCTACCAATCACTTCACCAGGCAGTTGGGCTTCGGGCTTTACCTTACTCTTGACAATCAGCAAACTTCGTAATGTGGGAAGAGCACAGTGGTGAATTTATAGCCTCTTCAATGTAAGCACCATAGCATCAAGGCCTGCCTGCCTTTAGCTATACAAAACTCCAGAAAATAGTTCTGTTTTGTTTTTTTGGACGGAGTCTCTCTCAGCCACCCAGGCTGGAGTGCAGTGGCACAATCTTGGCTCACTGCAACTTCCGCCTCCTGGGCTCAAGACATTCTCCTGCCTCAACCTCCCAAGTAGGTGGGATTACAGGCACCCACCATCATATCCAGGTAAGTTTTGTATTTTTAGAAGAGTCAGGGTTTCACCATGTTGGCCAGGCTGGTCTTGAACTCCTGACCTCAGGCAATCCACCCATCTCAGCCTCTCAAAGTGCTGGGATTACAGGCGTGAGCCACTGTGCCCAGCCCAGAAAATAGTTTATCCTCTCTGTGAAAGGCTGAACTCCAATCGTTCATCTAGCTCTAGAATTCTGTGACCTCTGATCCCTCTTGGGATAACTGAAGCCAATGGAGAGCCCAATACACAAGTATCATCATTGCACGGGATGGTTAAGGACTTTAGCACTTCACAGCCCCTTTAATCTCCGTCACCATGCTGACACTTTACCTGGCCTGCCAGTGCTCTTTTCATCAAAATTGACATATAATAAGATATCACTGCCATCTTTCCTTCTGTCCTTTTCTCATTTCTGTAAACCTAACCATCTTTTTGTTTGTTTGTTTGAGACGGAGTCTCACTCTGTCGCCAGGCTGGAGTGCAGTGGCACAATCTCAGCTTACTGCAACCTCCGCCTCCTGGGTTGAAGTGATTCCCCCGCCTCAGCCCCCTGAGTAGCTGGGACTACAGGTATGTGCCACCATGCCAGGCTAATATTTTGTATTTTAGTAGAAACGGGGTTTCACCATGTTGGCCAGGATGGTCTTGATCTCCTGACCTCACGATCCACCTGCCTTGGCCACCCAAAGTGCTGAGATTACAGGTGTGAGCCAATGAGCCTGGCTTAAACCTCACTGTCTGTTAGTTCCCACTGCTTCTTGTACTTTGACCTGCCCCAATCTGGCTGCCCAAAACTGCTTGCTCTCTGTTCCATGGTCATATATATTGGATATTCAGCCCTTCTGCTTAGCCAGTCCAGAGGCCTTTGAAGATAACCATTTGGGACAGTAGAGCTCTCTTAATCATCAAGAAGATGATTAAGACCAGCTTGTACACTATTTCTAAAAGATCTCTGAAAATGAGGGAGGCAGACTAGCTGACACCATATTTGGAGTCATCACTGACTAAAGCACAATTTCCTGAATATCTTTTTCTTATCAAATGTATTGCATCTAGGGGACAATTAATTCAAAGACGATGAATATAAGTTTTATTCCCAGTGAAATAGAGGTGTCTATTGCCACCGGAACTTATTTCAGGCCAAAAATGAAAAAAAAAAGGCAAACACTTACGTGAAGAGTATAGTCTGATTTTCTCGATCTACAAAAGAAAGAAAAAGGTCAAAATATTCTTATGTTTGAGGCTATGTATTAGCATGATCTTATTCAAAATTTCCCTGGCTACAGTTTGAAATCAGACATAAGGGAAAGGATTTGAATCATTTATAGTTGGAATAAAATACCACCCAAATGGTACAAAGTAAAATGGATTTTCTCTTGCCCCTATGTATGCCAGTGATAAGAACATATAAATTCAAGGCCTATTTCTTTGCTCTACATACAAATGATAATCAACTAATGGCTGAGATTCTTGCCATTTTAAGCCTTTTAAGAATCATTGTATAATAATAGCTATAGAATAACTTCTTTGTGCCAGACACTGTAGCTGATGCTTTATATAATAAAGGCTAACATCTATAGGGGGCTTACTCTGGGCCAGCTACTGGACCGAGCACTTTAAATGCATTATCTCACTTTGATGTACAAACTAATCGGTCCAATAACCCTAGGAGGTAGGTACTATTTTGCCCACATTTTATCCAGAGGGAAACAGAGCCTTCAAGTGATTAGCTAACTGTAAAGGCCATGCTCCGCTCACAATGCCTAAGTACCTCCTAGGGACATAGAGAAAAAGTAGATCAGATATTTTTACTTTTCATTTTGTAGGGCAGCTACTCACTGTGAAGCATGTCCTGAAATGCGTTATCAGCGACAGCAAAGATGTGAGGGGGAGCCTCTGATCGCCTCTTCCCTTTGTAGGCGGCCACAACTTCTTTCTGATACACGGGAAGCCATTTGTATGGGTTTATGGTCACACAGAAAAGACCTGAATATGTCTGAGGAAAGATCAGAAAAGATTTCAGAAACTAGATTAGAAATACTTCTAGATCTGTCAGCTCTTCCACTGTCAAGTAACATTTGCTCAAATATTACTTATAAAGGAACTCAGAGGAGAGCTTTTGGAATCATGTAGAGACGGGACTTCTAACAAGAAGAGACAGAACCAGGTTAGAGCAACATCAGGACCTGGGATTACCTCTCTCCTGGGAGGCCTGCTAATTACTAACACATCCGACTCACGGAACTTCTGAAGACAGAGAAGACCCTAACGGCAGGCCTGCAGAGACTTCAGTAACCAGCCATTAGGCATCTGAGGCCGGAGGCGACTCTGCTTCAGCAAGATGGGCTTGACTTTTAGGGCACTGAGAAGGAATAGCTCATGTGGGTCACTTAGTCACTAAAGGGGTTGAATTGTGGCCCCCACATAGATATGTTTATGTCCTAATGTCCAGAGCCTGTGAACGTAATCTTATTTGGAAAAAACGGGATCTTTGCAAACGTAATTTAAGAATCTCAAGATGATGACATTCAGGTGGGTCTTACATCCAGTAACTCATGTCCTTATAAGGTGACCCACAGAGGAGAAGGTGATGTGACAACGGAGGCAGGGACTAGAGTGTTGTGAACAAAAGGAATGCCAGAGCCACTGGAAGCTGGAAGAGATGAGGAAGGATGTCCCAGAGAGTCTCCAGAAGGAGTACAGCCCTGCTGATTGGATTTGATTTTGGACTGCTGGCCTCCAGCACTGTAAGAGAATAATTTCCATTGTTTTATGACACCCAGTTTGTAGTAATTTTGTTGCCGCATCCCAGGGAAACTAACACAGTTACATGATAAATCAGAGAGCTGAGGAGCAAGCTGGTTACATGCCACAGCTTCAATGGCAATGGGTCCCGGATGCTAGATCTTAGCTTAATCTATTTAGCACTGCTTCTGCTGCATAGTTTTTGAGTAAGTCCAAGAACCGGAGCAACTAACCATCATCAATTTAATGATGATGAAAAAATCATCTCACTCATTAATCAGTAACTAGTAAGTGACGGTGCTGGTGACTAGTCTGCCAGGCTTCAAGCCTCATGGTTTTAACTAAGGATGGCCTGTGGGAAGGCACATGAATGTTGACAAAATAAAATTGGGGAAATGCTAAGATAAGGTCCCATCCCAGTAGAAATTCCTTAAGGACTATCCCCATGTGAGCATGCTGAAACTCAATGTAAGAGATCACCCAGGAGAGACTGGGACATCCAATTTGAGTGCCAGCACGACAGCTGAGCAGGAAAGCATATTACACACATAGATCATCCACCGGCCATAGCGCCCCTTCAGGGTATGCAGCACGGAGGCCTCATTGAGGTGAGTCAGCATTGCCATGTCTTCAATCATTTCAAACTCCGGAGGATTCATCTGCTGGATTTTGTCCTCGTGTATGCTCAGACTCTGCAGAGAGAAGTAAAACATATGATATATTCCCCTGTCTCCTATGGTTGTTCATTTTCTCATGCATTAGAAAGAATATTCAGACTCAAAAAGAAAAAAGGATGCCTCATTAGGGGATGGGGCCAGAAGAAATTAAGCCAACCTTTGTGGAAGAAACAGGTGTTCTCCCTGAAAAAGCCCTCTCCTTTCCTAAAAATGAAGCAAACATAATATTTTTGTTATATCCAGATTTTCTATCTTGCAATACCTTAAGTTTGTGGCTTCTTGCTAGCCCTGATTCCCTCTGAGAGCACATAGATCATATTACGCATGGTCTAACCCCTAACCCCTAGCCCTTGATTTCCCAACATATCTTAGAGATTTAGAAGAAGAATCCTGGAGTGGAGGATTAAGGAGGCAGACCTTATCCCTCCAGACCTAGTTCAAAACCTGTCTCCTCCATCAGACATTCCCAGCTACTCCAGTTCATCAGTTTGTCCTCTTTTGTTAAATCTTGCCACCTGTACTATCTTTACATTAATACTCTTGTGTATGTTTTAATAATCAACTATGTTAGACTATTTTCTGGCTAGATTATAAGTACCTTAAGAAGGATTTTTGATGTTGTCTTCTTCTTTAATGAAGTTCAAAAGCTTGCACATGCATGTCCATTTTTGATGTTGTCATCTTAATAACTATAGTTATTCAAGCACCTATCACAATGCCTGGGATATGGTAGATAATAAATATTAATATCTTGATTAAAACTATCAAATAGTTTCTTGGGATTCTTCTCGCAGGTTTCCTAACACCCTTTTGATAGCCCTTTTCCACAATTAATAAATATTTGTGTCAACTGATTGCCCTATTTAATCCTAGTTGGTGGTGGCTTCTTTCCAAGGCTCTTACACTCGTTACATTCTTAATTCAATTTCTATCCATCTGTCTTCTTTAACATTATTCTAACAGTTATCCTTCTTCTTTTGAGTTTCCTCACTTTCTGTATCTCAAGGACTCCTCATGTACCCCCAAACCCATGTGGAATGTAATCCCATCTCATATATCTTCAAAAACCTCCCCCTTTCTCTGATTCTATTTTTCTATTATTTTTCACTAACAACTTTTATCAATAAGTAGTACTTTACACCCACTGGATTTATTGCCTTTGTTAATGTTACAAAGACCAAAGGTGATAGGAAGTGTAGTCACTTCTAACATCAGAAAGAGGAATCCTGGAGCCAGGGAGACAGAGAGAGAGTGAGGCTGGGGGAACGGGACCTTCATTAAGTAAAGGAAGGACAAGCAGGACAAAATAAACCACCTTCAGACTCTTTTTTACTACCTGCATTAGTGGCTTTCATGCTCTTCTTCCTGTGGTTGTAACCACATCATCGCAAATCACCTTAAGTACTGTTGAAGGGACAGCGGTTTTGGAGAATGTGCTCAGAAGAGCAAGACTCACATCTGGAGGCCTAACAAAATTTAGTTGGTCATCATTAACAAAATGAAAAGACAATGCATAGACTGAGAGAAAATATGTACAAACAATACACGTGATAAGGGATTTACAGAGAGATTCAAGACGGCTGATCACTAGCAGCTCAGGATTGTAGCTCCGAGTGAAAGCACCGAGAACAAGAGGACGCCACATTTTCAGACGAATTTTTTTTGCTCACGGACCAGGAGATTCCCAGCAGAGGAGCCCCACGGGTCACCAGCACAACTCTTGTGGCCGGCGCAGTGGTTCTTGGTGCAGAATAAACGAGACTAGGTTTCCTTTTGGCCGACGTTTGGATCTCCGGGAAGGCAGAGTTGCCTATTCAGCTGATTGAAGGACGGACTCAAGAAGGAAGCCAGACTGGAGATTCCCGGGCAGAAAAGCACCATGAATCTCAACGCCGCTGTGTTGGCCAGCGCAGTGAGTTGCTCAGATTCTGGCGCTGGGAATCAACAAGTGGGACGTCCACTCAGAAACCTAATTAGAAAGTCGGTAATTATAAAGATCACAGATGGATAAATTTATAACGAAGGGAAGAAACCAGCCTAAAAAAGCTGAGAAAACCCAAGATCAGAACACCTCTCCCTCTACAGGAGATCACAGTCCCTCATCAGCAACAGAACAAGGCCTGATGGAGAACGAGTGTGTTCCATTAACAGAAGTAGGCTTCAAAATGTGGTTGATAAGAAACTTCTGTGAGTTAAAAGAACTTGTTCTAAACCAAAGCAAAGAAACTAAGAACTTTGAAAAAAAGTTTGACGAAATGCTAACAAGAATAGACAATTTAGAGAGGAATATAAGTGAATTAATGGAGCTGAGAAACACAACTCGAGAACTTCGTGAAGTATGCACAAGTTGTTTTTGTTTTTGTTTTTTTATTGCATTTTAGGTTTGGGGGTATATGTGAAGAACATGCAAGATTGTTGCATAGGTACACACATGGCAGTGTGGTTTGCTACCTTCCTTCCCCTCACCTAATCTGTCATTTCTCCCCATGCTATCTCTCCCCAACTCCTCACCCCCCGTCCCTCCCCCATTTCCCCCCAACGGACCCCAGTGTGTAGTGCTCCCCTCCCTGTGTCCATGTGTTCTCATTGTTCAACACCCGCCTAGGAGTGAGAACATGCGGTGTTTGATTTTCTACTCTTGTGTCAGTTTGCTGAGAATGATGGTTTCCAGGTTCATCCATGTCCCTACAAAGGACACGAATTCATCATTTTTGATGGCTGCATAATATTCCATGGTGTATATGTACCACATTTTCCCTGTCCAGTCTATCATCGATGGGCATTTGGGTCTGTTGGTGGGAGTGTAAATTAGTTCAACCATTGTGGAAGACAGTGTGGTGATTCCTCAATGACCTAAAAATAGAAATCCCATTGACCCAGCAATCCCATTACTGGGTATATATCCAAAGGATTATAAATCATTCTACTATAAGGACACATGCACACGAATGTTCATTGCAGCACTGTTTACAATAGCAAAGACCTGGAACCAACCCAAATGCACAAGTTTTAACAGCCGAATTGATCAAGCAGAAGAAAGGATATTAGAGGTCGAAGACCAATTTAATGAAATAAAATGAGAAGATTAGAGAAAAAAGGATAAAAAGGAATGAGCAAAGTCTCCAAGAAATATGGGTCTATGTGAAAAGACCTAATCTACATTTGATAGGTGTACCTGAATGTGACGAAGAGAATGAATCCAAGCTGGAAAATATGCTTCAGGATATTATTCAGGAAAACTTTCCCAACCTAGTAAGGCAGGGAAATATTCAACTCCAGGTAATACAGAGAACACCACAAACATATTCCTCAAGAAGACCAATCTCAAGGCATATAATCCTCAGATTCACCAGGGTTGAAATGAAGGGGAAAATGCTAAGGGCAGCCAGAGAGAAAGGTCAGGTTACCCACAAAGGGAAGCCTATCAGACTCACAGCAGATCTCTCATCAGAAACCCTACAAGCCAGAAGAGAGTGGGGGCCAATATTCAGCATCCTTAAAGAAAGGAACTTTCAACTCAGCATTTCCTATCCAGCCAAACTAAGCTTCATAAGCGAAGGAAAAATAAAATCTTTTGTGAACAAGCAAGTACTCAGAGATTTCATCAACATCAGGCCTGCTCTACAAGAGCTTCTGAAAGAAGCACTACACATAGAAAGGAACAACCAGTATCAGCCTTTCCAAAAATATACCAAAAAGTAAAGAACATCAACATCATGAAGAATTTACATCAATTAATGGGCAAAGCAGCCAACTAACATCAAATGGCAGTATTAAACTCACATATATTATTATTATTATTTTTTTTTTTTGAGACGGAGTTTCACTCTTGTTACCCAGGCTGGAGTGCAATGGCACGATCTCGGCTCACTGCAACCTCCGCCTCCTGGGTTCAGGCAATTCTCCTGCCTCAGCCTCCTGAGTAGCTGGGATTACAGGCACGTGCCACCATGCCCAGCTAATTTTTTGTATTTTTAGTAGAGACAGGGTTTCACCATGTTGACCAGGATGGTCTCGATCTCTCGACCTCGTGATCCACCCGCCTCGGCCTCCCAAAGTGCTGGGATTACAAGCTTGAGCCACCGTGCCCGGCCGTTCCACATATATTATTATTAATCCTAAATTTAAATCGATTAAATCCCCCAATCAAAACCCATCAGTATGCTGCATCCAGACTCATCTGACATGCAAGGATACACAAACACTCAAAACAAAGGGATGAAGAAAGATTTACCAACCAACTTGAGAGCAAAAATAAATTAATTAATAAAAAGCAGGAGTTGCAATTCTCGCCTCTGATAAAATGGACTTTAAAGCAACAAAGATCAAAAGAGGCAAAGAAGGACATTACATAATGATAAAAGGATCAATGCAACAAGAAGAGCTAAAGATCCTAAATATATACGCACTCAATACAGGAACACTCAGATACATAAGACTTACAAAGAGACTTAGACTCCCACACAATAATAGTGGGAGACTTCAACATCAATATTAGACAGATCAACGAGACAGAAAATTAACAAGGATATCCAGGACTTGAACTCAGATCCGGAACAAGTAAACTTCATAAACATTTATAGAACTCTCCACTTTAAATACACAAAATATACATTCTTATCAGTACCACATCACACCTACTCATAGGTTTAAATGAAATATTGGTTGGCTGCTTGTTTGTTATTTTCTTCCCTCATTTTTTTCCTGTCTCCATTATTAAGCACAATTATTGACATAAAAGAGGTTTTCAATACCCATTTTTAGACTGCATTCTAGCCTGGGCAATAAAGCAACACTCCCGTTCTCTATCCCTCTTCCTCTTTCTTCCTCTCCTTCATTCTTTTTTTTTCTTTAAAAAAAAAAGTTCTTTTACCTTAAAAAAAAGGTGGTGGGGGGGGGGTGAGTTACATTCAGAAGGTAAAAAGAACTCTTACAACTGAATAATGAAGAGGTAATAGCCCAATTAAAAAATGGGCAAAAAGCTTGAATAGACATTTATCTGAAAGAGATAAACAAATGGCCAATATGTACATGAAAAGATGCTTGACATCATTAGTCACTGGGGAAATGCAAATAAAAATCTCATAAAAATACTATTTCATGCCCACTAGAAAGGCTGTAATCAAAAAGAAAGTAAAATGTGTTAGTGAGGATGTGGAGAAAGTGTAATTCTTACATGCTGCTGGTGGAAGTGTAAAATTGTAGCCACTTTGGAAAGAAGTTTGGCAATTTCTCAAAATGCTAAACAAAGAGTTACCACGTGACCCAGCAAATGCACTCCTAGATATACACCCAAGAGAAATGAAAACAGGTATCCCCACAAAAATTTGCACATGTATGTTCATAGAAACATCATTCATAATAGCCAGAACATACAAACAACCCAGTGACCATCAACCGATGGATGGATGAACAAGCTCGTATATCCATAAAATGAAATAAATTTATCCATTAAAAAGAATGAAATGTTTATTCACGTGACATTGTGAAGGAACCTCAAAAACATTATGCTAAGTGAAAGAAGGCAGAAACAAAAGGCCACCAATTATATGCTCTTATGTATCTGAAGTTGCTGGAATAGGGAAATCTATGGAGATAGAAAGCAGATCAGTGACTGCCTGGGGCTGGTGCAGGAGGAAAGAAGGGGTTGTGACTGCTAATGGGCACAAGATTTCTTTGGGGGGATCTTTTTTAATAAAATATTGTCCCAAGGCTAAATGATCCTGATTGAGTTTCTCTCTATTTTTTAGTTTACTAATTTAGGACTAAGGAAAATTTCTTGCTGAATTTTTCCTTGTCCACCTATTTATATTCCAGTTGAAAAGGACCAAGTTCAGGCTGGGTGCGGTGGCTCACGCCTGTAATCCCAGCACTTTGGGAGGCCGAGGCGGTGGATCACGAGGTCAAGAGATCGAGACCATCCTGGCCAACATGGCGAAACCCTGTATCTACTAAAAATACAAAAAAAAAAAAATTAGCTGGGCATGGTGGCGCGTGCCTGTAATCCCAGCTACTCAGGAGGCTGAGGCTGGAGAATTGCCCGAACCCAGGAGGTGGAGGTTGCAGTGAGCCGACGCACGATTGCACTCCAGCCTGGGTACCAAAAGCGAAACTCCGTCTCAAAAAAAAAAAAAAAAAAGAAAAGAAAAGGACCAAGTTCTTTTCCTAATTTCATGAGTTCTACAACATCTACCTAATTTGAGATTTTTCTTCATAACGGACATTGACCGTCAGGAAGACATATGAAAGCATTCTGTGTGGTAGTTTATGAGTAGCTTCCAAAATTTTAAAAATCAAATTGCAACACGTTAGAACATAAATTGCCTAAAAACAAAGATAGCATTAAAAAGACAAACTTTCTCAATAACAACAACATCTGTTTGTTACAGGATGTGGCTTGTTATGGATTTAGGAAGAGGCAGAATTGAAAGGAGCTTAGAGAAGGGAATATTGGCAGGGAGTCATCTGTAAAATCTATAAGGAAATGTTCATTGAAGTCAGGACAGAAATGGGGCTCAGCTTACACCACGGAGTGGCGGGTAATGTGAAGTCAGAAATGTAGGCAAAGGTTCTGAAAGTCAGCTGTCTTCTCAATGTGACCCTGCTGCTCTGAATGCCTTGGTGGCAGGGAGGAGGGCTGGGGGCTGTTACGGCTTCACTACACATTTCCTCTGTGAACCTTAGAGTCTAGCTTATACCCCAACACTTGGTATAACCTTTTCTTTCGGAGGTCATAGACGACCTCCTCATTCTGAAATCCAAGGCTCTCTCCAACTCTTAATCTCCTTCTGTAGCATTTGGCATTACTGGCCATTCCCCCATCTCTTGGCTTCTGTGACACTATGCCACTTTTATTCAAATCATACATCTCACTCTTGATCCTACAAACATAGCTTGCTTCATAGGTCTTTAAGTCATTATTCACCCGACGGCAGACCTTTTTGAAAAAACCAACTTGAAGCATTGATGAAAAAGTGAAGGCTGTGAGTTCCAGTCAATACTCCTTGCCACTGGCAATTGTTTTACTCTGATTTATTCACTGTTCTTCATTAAATCTTTGATGATAAATAAAGGAGCTTTTTTTAAAAAAAAAATTTTTTTCCTTCCTTCCTTCCTTTTCTTCCGCCTTTCCTTCCTTCCTTCCTTCTTTTTCTTTCTTTCTTTTCTCTCTCTCTCTCTCTCTCTCTCTCTCTCTCTCTGTTTCTTTCCTTCTTTCTTTCCTTCTTTCTCTTTTTTTTGTGACAGGGTCTCACTCTGGCTGCCCAGGCTGGAGCACAGTGGTGTGATCACTGCTCACTGCAACCTTGACCTCCTCAGACTCAGGTGATCCTCCTACCTCAGCCTCCCAGATAGCTGGGGATTACAAGCACGCACCACCATGCCTGGCTTATTTTTGTATTTTTTGTAGAGACAGGATTTTGCCATGTTGCCCAGGGTGGTCTCAAACTTCTGGGCTCAAGCCATCTGCCTGCCTCAGCCTCCCAAAGCGCTGAGATTATATGCATGAGCCACTATGCCTGTCCACTTAAGGAGGAGCTTATTAAAATGAATGACTTCAAAGTGAGTCAGTAGCATCTCCTACCCCAGGTCTTTAATTAAAATATTATAGAAAGAATATATTTAGTTATTTGATAAATAGAGAACATAGTTATCCCCACAATGAAATAAAAATTCCTTTACCTTCCCATCTGTTGTCTCAACAATTACTGTTCCATCATCTTCACTCCCTTTTACTTCAGCCTCAATGTAAGCATTCTCACCATCAGGAATCCAGCATTTCTTCTTACCTGTAGAGAAAAAAAATAGATTATAGCTATAGTACTTATAGAAATATACACTGGACATTTTCAGTGATAGGTCTAATCTCATTTCTGCTGAATCAGCTTGTTGACTCCAGGAACTTGCAAAGTTAGATAAAATCATAAAAGCTCATCCTGAAGATACAGTCACTAACACAGTGACTCTACAGGAACAAGAAACATCCCAGCAAGCAGCACCTTGGGGGCACCACAGACCATTTTGCTACAAGAAAGTTACCTGTCAACACCCGCCAAAACTTTAACGACCCTCCCAACACTTACCTCCACTCACACCCCAGGACTTCAGTGGTTGCCCTGGTGCTTGCACCCCTTCCAGATTCCCTCCCCCAAAAAAACTCATTCAGTTTGGGGATGAATAAGTGAAAATTTAGGTTAACGGTCATGTTCTTCAAGTTTCTTTAGACCTTACTTCTAATTTTGGAATGGAAGTCTGCTAAGTGAATTACATGATAAAATTGGCAGGGTCAGGTTGAGGAGAGAGAATACGGGTTGTTTTTGCACACAACATAACCAACTCATGTTATCTACCCCCCATATGTTATTTTTCTCTCTTCGGCTTCCTCACTCCCAGACCTCATCTCTAAGCAAAGTAGTATAGATAAAGTGATTAACCAACAAGAGGTCTTGGGTGAAACGACCCAGAAGTCTTGTGAACACCTGAGGCAGCTTCTCTTTCTCTCCCACTTGAAGCAGATAGCCAGTGATGACAAATAATATGCTTTTAGGGGTCTGGGTGCAGTAGCTCATGTCCATAATTCCAGCACTTTAGGGGCCTGGGTGCAGTAGCTCATGTCCATAATTCCAGAACTGGGATCAAGGTAAGACGATTGCTTGATCCCAGTTCAAGACCAGCCTGGGCAACATAGCAAGACCCTCCATTCCCCATCCTGTCTCTACAAAAAAAAAAAAAAAATTAAGCCAGGCATGGTGGCTCATGCCTGTAATCCCAACAATTTGGGAGGCTGATGCAGGTAGATCACAAGGTCAGGAAATTGAGATCATCCTGTCCAACATGGTGAAACCCCATGTCTATAAAATATAAAAATTAGCTAGGCGGGGTGGCATGTGCCTGTAATCCCAGCTACTCGAGAGGCTGAGGGAAGAGAATTCCTTGAAGCAGGGAGTTGGAGGTTGCAGTGAGCCGAGATCACACCACTGCACTTCAGCCTGGCAACACAGCTAGACTGTGTCTCAAAAAATAAAAATAAAAAATAGAAATTAGCCAGGTATGATGGTGCATGATGGTAGTCTTAGCAATTCAGGAGGCTCAACGGGGAAGATCACTTGAGCCCAGGAGCTGGCTCATTTTCCTTTAAAAGGTGTGTGTGTGTGTGTGTGTGTGTGTATCATACTTTCCTTTTAAAGGAAAATATATATATATATAAACATACCTATATATGTACATGAAAAATGAGCCTTAGTAGAAACTCACAGAAGTCCCCAGCTCACAGGTACTCAGGTAGATGGGGAAAGCCTTTGATTGAAAGATGGAAAATGTTAGCCAATGGCTAGGGAAGACACAAGCAAAAACCCCACTATAACCACAGCACTAGTAGATAATGCAAACTCAGTCACCACCATCACCTCTAAATATGTGAGTCACAAAAGCTAGAGAGGGCTCACTGCTGCAGAATAAGTTGTCCTTATTTCCCAGAGGTAGGCAGTAAGACCGGGGAAGGAGTGTGTGAGAAGAAGCTAAAGTTAGGTACCATTAGCCCCTTCTTCCACCATGCTTGTTTCTGCAAAGAGTTTGGTTGCTCACGACTTTCTTGCTCTCAGTGCTGCCTGTTTCATTTCCCTGATTACAAACAATTCACCACTAAAACTGCTTGGCAAGAAGAGTTTATGTTTCCATCTAACTGTGCATTTGCTTTCTACTTATCGTTTGTGTTTTAAATACTGGCTTTGCATTGTATTCATTATTTTGGTCCCTTTTTGCAAAAACTGATTTTGCTTTGTGTCACAGCTATGAAAATATGCTTGCTTTTGAAAAGCATCCATTTAGCATATATTTTTTTGAGTGTGTTTAAAATGCAGAGCATTATCACTTGAAAGAAACTTGAAGGTCACCTGGCACAGACTCTCTCCCTCTTGTCTTTCTCTCTATCTTTTTAGAAGAAGAACTTTGGGAGATAGATCGAGTTGCCCATAGTCACATAGCTAATTAGTGGCAGTCACTGTCATGATGACTCTAGAAATGAGATCATCCACCTCCTGAATCAGTGCTCCTGCTTTACAGCCTGCCTCCTCTAACACATGCTTAGCTTTTTCTCCTCCAATTCTTCCGTCCAGGAGTAGGCTCACCACCTGCGTCATGATGAAGTCTCTCTTTTACCACCCCTGGAAACACTTCTTGGGGGATAAAAGTTTTCAGAAATCCTTTCTTATCTGAGCCCAAACCCTGAGAGGGACATTTTGGAAAATGAAGTAAATGAACTCCATCAGTTTTAATTCCTGGTGTCCATAAATAATAATGCAGAGCTGGAAATGCAGATAACAATGGATTTGAGGAGCCAGCCAGGATTTTACCTTGGCTTGGCTTGTAACAAGACATAAACCCATGACTTCATCTCTTTTGGCCTTTGTATTCTCATCTGTAAAGTGGCCTTTTCCTACATAATTTCATATTTTTAGACAATTAAATATCTTTTCCAACATATAGCTAATAAGTGCTTATTGAATAAAACTTGAAGAGTAATGTATGAAGAAAATGTTTTTAATCATTCCTAATCAGACGACTCAGAGACAACCACTGTTATGTATTCAAAGCATTTCTTTTGAATCTTTTTTCTAGAATATTGATTAAAACAGGGGTAATACTATGTTCAGTTTTATAGTTATTTTAAATAGATTACTTATATGTTCTAATATAGGAATTATTTACATTTGGCTTTGGAATAATGTTTTGTCTTAGCTCTGAAAACACCTGGACTTCTTCCCTGACTCCCAGGAATTCTAGTTTTCCTTCTCAAATATCATAATAATGCATTATATTTATTTTCATATTTATAGTCTCATTTGGTCCTCACAGCAGTGGAGGCATGTAGATAGGACACGTATTATTATCTCCTTTGATACATGAGGAAACCAGAGCTCAATAAAGTGAAGTAGTTGCTCCAATTACACAGCCAGAGATGGTCAAGGACAGGGAATTGGAACCCAAGACCACCTTTGAAATACTCGTCCTCACACCGCTTCCATTTGACCTGACTCCAAAAAACCAAACAAACTCCACTGTATGCTAGGCTGGGAAAATGAACAACTTTTGCTAACACTTGTCTCTTTGCTGCCAGTGCATTTCTATGAGGAAGGATTGTTTTGTCCAAAAATATTAATAGAAAATTATGTAGATTGCTATGTTTTAAGTAATTATTTACGGTGCCGATTTTAACAAGTGCATCATCCAATTATCTCTAATGCTTAGGAAGAATTTTTATTTTCTTTCTGGCACCGCTATTATCTTGTTCTCCATTATCTAACTACCTGCGATAAGCCTCTGCATGACCAGTTCTGACCTCAGGGATAGTTCCGTTAATGTATTTGATTTGATGGATTGTAATTAGCCTAAAATCCAATCACCGTCATGAAATCCAAGACTGGAAACTGGGAACTGATCCAGGACTGGTCTGTGATGGAAATAGAATATCCTCCATAACTGGCTTAAATTATAATTGGTTATATTAAAGTCTAATGTTGACTAATTCTGAGTACAAGAACGACATTCAGCCAGTTCTTATGTTGCACTGTTGAGTAACTTTGGAATTAAGACATGTAGGTAGCTTGATGCTCTATCACACTGTGAATCTGATTTCTAAATATCCAGTTAGCTGAAATTCAGGCCAGACATGTAAAGGTAGCTGGAAAAAGAATAACATTTATTTAGAGATTTCAATGTAGAACTTAGCCTTTTTTTTAAAAAAAAAAAAAGGCTAAATCCTCACTAACCTGTGTCCTTGCCTGTAACTACCAAGGATTTATAAATCAGGGTGAGCAAGTCTCCTGATTATTTTTTGTTTAGTGTTGGCTGAGTGACCCTGCTAACCTAGATGACTGCCAGAGGGCAAAGCTCCAACATCAGAAAACGCTGGAGAGCCAGAGACAACTTCAAAGTCTGCAGCCTTACCAGAGCCTTTCCCTTTCTTCTTCACCGCAGTGTTCAAGCCCCACCCTCTAGTCTAAATCACAGCCCCCTCTCTCTACTGTGGCATTCACTAATAACTAAGAGGTTTCTGGGAAAGGCTTTGTCAGTGGCCATTCCTGCAGGTGTCTATGTTATAACTGTGGTTCCTTGAAGAGAATACCTGTCTTAGGACCAAGCGTGTAGGGCCCAGGCCTAGGCTGCCTCCCGGCCACCCTCCTCTTCTGTGGATACTTCCATTCCTACCCTGAAGACTCAGAGGTCCTCAATTACTCAGCTTTCTAGAGGCTGATCACACCCCAAGCAAATAAGTTAGTCTCTAGAATGGATGGCTCTTCTCTACCAATCAAATACCTTAGTCGCCACCTTGAAGTAGCAAAATAAAGTGAAGCCAGAAGCCACCACATGTCTCACCGTCCAAGGCCGTGGCCTGTAGCAGAAGCAGCTCAGCCTCACTTCTTCTGAGGAAGGCTGCAGCTTCTCCAAGCTCTGACAGATCCATCCTTATTAAAGCGATCCACCAACAAAGGGCTAGGCCTAAACATGAGTAGAAAAGATTCACTCTGCAAAAAAAAAAAGGTATAGAGAAAAAAAAGTGGAAATGAGGCATCAAGCTCTAAATGAGCAACCATTCACACAGATAGATCAAAGAGTGTTGTTTCCCTTTAACTACCTGTGCCCCTTCTTTCTCTTTGCTATGTCTCAAATTTATGACAAAATTGGACTCAAGAATATCTGACTCTAGCAGGGCTGATTTATTCACTAGACATAGAAGGCACAGTGCCTGAAGCCCACGATGTTTTCAGGGGCCCATGAAAACGTTTATTTTAAAATCAGAAGGAAAATATAATATGAATGATACAAAATAGTGAACAGAGCCTGGATTATATTCATCTTTATGCCAACACACTTATGAAATCTGATTTTTAATATTTTTTGATGGCAAAATGGTCTTTAAAAGACAGAAGTGCCTATAGCCTGTGAAAGTCACCATGCAACCCTGGGCCATGGAGTTCTGACTGGTGGGGGATGGTCCAGATGGAGAAACATCAAGTTGCGGACACTAGGCCCTTTGTTAGAAGTGGACGCAGTTTCGAGATATCTAATTACATCCAGGTGGACAGACCATCATAGACAGAACATGGTTACAAAGAGAAGCGATTTAGATAAATGTTCACTAGTAGACAGTAAAGGGATAAAAAGATAAGTATCTTGGCAAAGATAAGTGTCTGGGAGTAGATGATTTACAAAAATACAGGTGCAGATGGGCATTCGGGAGGCCTGGCCAAGAGCAGTGATGAGGAAACCCAGGCTGAAGGTGGCTAGCAGGTGACAGGGTGTTGAGAGTGGGGCTGGAGTAAATAATGAAGTTCATTGGCTCCAGCAAGGCAAATATTACTCTTAAAGGGACTGAGTTGCTAGGCAAATTATCAAGGCTGAAGTCATTGAGCACCCGCTCTACACCAAACAGTGGACAGAGTTTACCTTTAATTTTCACACTTTACATTTGATAACAGGGAGGAGAAGAAATAGAAACTGGGCCTTCATGATCTTAAATGTGAAGCTATTCTATTTGGACAAAAAAAAAAAAAAAAGATCTTCCTCTTCACGCAAGTGTGCAAGGCAAGCGTTGCTAGACCCACTTAGAGATGAGAAGGTAGAGAGGGCTGCCCAAGTTTGCTTAGGTCAAATGCTGCCTTTGAGGACAGATCAGAATGAACTTCAGAATGAGCTGTCATCACTTTCTATCTTGCGATGAACACATCCAATAAACTCATCTTACTGCACTTAATCTGCGCTCTTCTTCGTGGTGGCTTAGATAGGTATAGTGATACCACTTTTAGGATCTAGTTTCAAGGGGTATGGTTTAAAGCAAAGACTAGTGGTCCGGGCTAAGAGTTAGTTTTGTTTTTGCCAGAAAATAGGCATGTGACTTGTGGGAATCAGCCCCCGTAGGTGTAGTTTTCTCACCTATGCAATGCAAGGACTAGTCTTAATGTATAGGAACATTTCCTGATGTGGAGAGAAAAAAAAGATGCTCAAGAGAAACAACATATACGAATTCCCTCCAGAGATGGGACCGAAGGTGGCATTTCTCAGCAGAAAAGACAAAACTGATTTTTCTGTGGACGAGCATTCAGATTCAGGTTTTGTAACCATTATAGCAGCAATAACATTATTAGACATTTGAATGTAGAAGAACTCAAGATAAAGGAAAGCTCTGAAAGAAAGGCAGAGAAATTTAGAAATAGATGATGGGAGACATCATTAACTCTTTGGGCAGGGACATGAGGAAGCGGTATTTAGGAAAATGGCTCTGGCAGCATATTCTGGGTAGGTGGGGATAAGGAAAAGCTGTAGTCAGGGAGACAAGTTGTGAGTCTGCATTTGCGAAAGAACGCACTGTGCCCCCTCCTCTCTGTATGTGTGACTTCCCAGTGGCTTACACTCAGTAGACAGTAGAGCTCAGGAAGTATAATTGGAATATAAAAGATATCCATTAATATATGTGTGTACAAACTTTCTGAAAAGATACCTAAGAAATGGATATCTGAGTGGTGAGAACAGGAGGTGGGAAGGAGGAGAGAACTGCCTTTCATTTCGTTCCATTCTCGTCTGTCAGTGTGTGCCATGTGCTTATATTTCATAATTAACAGATTTTTTACAAGTAGTTCTTATTATAACATCAGAGATGAAAAGATCACAGCAAGACATAGAGCGCACAGCTGTGTAACTCTCCTTCCAAGTTTGGAGCGTTTAACATATTTAAAGGTATACAAGGAACAGAATGTGTAGGAGCAGGCACTAGAAAGTAGGAAACAGTAAGCGCCAGAAGTGGGGGGGCCTGGCAACCACTGGGAGATAGGTAACTGAAGCCAAGAGAGTGATTCACGTTTCTCCTTGGCCCCCTCAGCCTCCATTAACCCCCTAATGTCCTACTGACCTCTGGGTCCCTTTAGGTTCCAGTAGCACATATGGCTTTACCATTTTATAGAATAACACACTTGTCACAGCCCAGTCCTAGCAACATCTTAAAATAGAAAATGAAAGAGCCCAAATGCCCAAAAGAAGTAAACAAATTAACCTTGCCAGCAAAATAATCAGGAAGCTGTATTTTGTGAATGACAGAGAAACATAGATGAGTATAGAACTAAAAGTAATTCTCTTAGAAGGAAAAGTTCATCTACATGTTGAAAGGAAATTATATTCGAGACTGGTATACTTGTACATGTTTATCAGAGGATTCTGACATCCACCATAAATAAACTTGTATCTGCTACTGCATATATTTACAAGACAGGAGAGCAGGGGGTACCAATGGAATGCTGGGAGAAGAAGAAAGGGTAGGGCAGAAGGGCTGCATCCACATCGCTGTGAGTCTCACTTCTAGGACCTAGCTCTACCTCTGAACGTCGAGGAGCTTGATTTATCAATACATCCTGGAGTGATTAAGCTCTGGGAACCACATAACTATGCTTGTAAGAACACATATAATTTATCACCCAAAGCTGGACATACTTTTGCTTACTGGGATTTTTAAGAAGGGATGCTATTAATATTTAAATCAGGACAACAACTTAATCTAAGGTTGTCCCAAGCAAATAGGGACATATGGGCCATCCACTAATATGAGAATTGATGACTCAAAATGGTAATTTCTAAACTGACAATGAGGGTACACCTTTCCATAACTGCAAAGTCCATTTACTTGTCTGCACGATCCACAGGACACAGAGACAAAGCCATCACTATCAGAAGGTTGGATTCAGAGAGAGGCATTACATCATTCTGTACATGACATCATGCAGTTTGTAACACAGCAAAAATAATGCATCGTGCTCTGTTCTAGAGTTCACCTTTACAGAGACTGAGCATCATATAAACCACCAGTATTCTGTTTACCTTGACAGGGCACAATTCTAGGAATATCTTGGTTACCAGTTAACAAAGTAAAGACAAAGAATGGGAAGTCCTTATAGGGAAGGGAGAGCTGAGGTGTAAGCTTTTCTCCTTGGTCAAGAAAGAATCATGTTGGTCTGACCTAGCTGCCCTTGGTAGAAAATGTTTGAGTAGCTGTCAGCTGAGACCAGACATGAGCTATGACGACCAACGACCTTTGTCTGCCCAGAGCTGAGGTATTTCCCAGGGCTTGAGACTTTCAGTGTGAAAACCAGAAAAGTCCCAGGAAGGCTAGAACAAGTTGGTCAACGTACTTTTAAGTGTAGTGCCTATAGTTCTTTTAGGAATTCAATCTCTATTTTGGAAATTAGCTATTTTTATACTGGTTTTATTTATTTATTTATTTATTTATTTATTTATTTATTTATTTATTGAGACGGAGTTTCACTCTTGTTACCCAGGCTGGAGTGCAATGGCGCAATCTCGGCTCACTGCAACCTCCGCCTCCTGGGTTCAGGCAATTCTCCTGCCTCAGCCTCCTGAGTAGCTGGGATTACAGGCACCCACCACCATGCCCAGCTAATTTTTTGTATTTTTTAGTAGAGACGGGGTTTCACCATGTTGACCAGGATGGTCTCGATCTCTTGACCTCGTGATCCACCCGCCTCGGCCTCCCAAAGTGCTGGGATTACAGGCTTGAGCCACCGCGCCAGCCTACTAGTTATACTTCTGTGGCTATCTCCCTCTCCTTCCTCAGGTATTTTGTAAACATCGTTTTGAAAATGTCTATTTCAAATATATATTTGAATATATTCATATAATATATATGTATTGCCCATCTATAATTGCCCATGTTAGGCCCAGGGGTACAATAATGGGCAGAATAAATACTGTGCCCTCTTAGAGTAATAGATTTGAATGGGGGTAGAAGTTTCTTCTGTCTTGAATTATTACACATTAGACAAATCTGTAGAGAGCAATTTTCACATTTTGGGGTGGGGTGTGGAGCTGGTCATACAGCAAAGTTCAGAAAAGAAGCCCAGAGAAGGACTGAAGAAGTGAAGGGAAGAGGTGAGCTTGTACGGCCATGGCTCCCAACTCACTCTTCTGAGTGGAAACTTTAGGCTGAGTTGTTTTCTTAAAATGAGAGGCCTTTTCCTCACATCATTGTTTGACAGGCTCTTTCACTCTCTCATTCCAATGGAAGGATCTCATCCTAATCCTCCTAGTCCCCAGAGATAGACCCCTTGGAGTCATCTCTAATTGCTCCTTCTGTCTCATGTCACATTCAATTTATCTTCAAGTTTTATTGATTGTATAATTACCAGTTTTTATCCACTGGTAGCTGACACAGTTTGGAGTGGCCGCTGAGCCCACACTCCTGTTAGAAGTGCCTGCTCTCAGCCACAGGAATGAGCCACAAGTAGCCATATCTGTAAGGTGACACTCGTGTCCTGGCCCAGCTTATAAACCAGGCTTGAGTATCTGATCCTGGGATAATCAGAGACAATCAGGGGATCCCCCTAGAGTATAGATTTGAGATTGAGATGCCACTCTCCATCTGGGCTCTTTGCTCGAATGGGGTGATGCAAACTTGAGGGTTGGGGTTGGCATTGTAGTGTGGTCATGTGGTGCCACATACATGCTAATCAGCAAAAGCGTTAGTAGAGAGGAAGTCACAAGGATGAGGAGAAGTGGCAATAACAGACCAAAGAAAGAGAGAGAGAGACCAATTTCCTATATCCCAAAGAGCTTTCCTGGCAACAGTACCTCCTGAGACCTATATTCAATTTTTGCCTTTGGTTTCTATAAGCTCTCTCAATGACCTTTCAGTACGTTCTCATTTCTTTCCCAACTTTTAATAATCTCAAGTGAGTATTTGTTATTTGCCCTTAAAATATCCTTAACTAATGCATTATGTCTCAGTCTTTGTCCTAACAGAGGTTCTTAGTTTCTCTCCTAAGATGATGTGAAGATTGTGAATAAAACTCAGCACATTGTCTGGTGCATAGTAAAACCTTAATCAACGTTAACTGTTCTTATTACTATTCAACAAGCATTTATGCAGTCTTCGAATACTGTGCTAAATATGTAAGAGAGTAACTTTGCTTTCCAAATTGCTTAGTCTATCTGAGATGTGCAAAACCATAATGGAGGATAGTACCACAGGGAAGTAAAGAGGGAAATTCACATAGTGGCAGCTATTAGCTGAGTAGAGGGAGATAAGAGAAGGGAATTGTCTATTTGGATGGTGGTCGCTTCTGAAAGGTCACACTTTCTAGTCCTCTTACGGCTGACCACAGTAAATCTATTACTCAGCACCATCTCCTTCAGTCAAAGCTAGACAATAAATGTGGAGATGAGGGCATGCAGAAATCCATATCTCCTTGGCATTTCAGTGCCTTAACTGTAAGCAGAAACTCAAATGATGCCTATGAAGTAAATTGTTAAGAGTTAAACTCTTTTCATGTTAGCAGCCCTGATACTTTTTAAAGAAGGTTTTGTCATAATTGATTAGATTCGCTTGAGTTCTTCATCAAGATACGTTATTATGCGTGTTACTTTCAAAGCCGTTTACTGCTGGGAAGCCATGATGCAAGTAATAAGAACAAATATTAATATTTCTTTGAGTAAACAAACACTAAGCATCGTTTGACACAGCCTCTTCCCTTATTAAAATTGGAGACAATGCCTGAAAATGAGAATGGATTTATCCAGATGTCAACAGCTAAAGGGGAGAATTATCAAGCACTTAAATGATCCCAAACAAGCTGAAACATATGTCTTAAGGCAGTAAATGAAACACATTTGAGTTACAAGGCCCAGTAAATGCCACAAATCTGGGGAAATGCTGCAAGATGCTCCTAATTAAGGACACTACTGGGTAGACAAATGATGCTGATGCTTCCTAGTATTCATGCTGCTGAGATAATCATGTTATGTGCCTTAACTCAGCAAGGTTTCCTCCACAGAAAATCTTATGTGGTTAGTCTTTAGGAACAAATCTACCACCCCTTTATCAGCTTCACTATCTGCAATTTATTTGTTCATATACAGTTTATCTCTCTACAATAGCAGGGGCTTTAGGCAGGTTTTATCTTCAAAGAGGAATGTTAAAAGGTTGAATTACAAATCAAGAGTATTGCACAAATTATTGATTATTTAAAGCATTTGCCTCAAAGGGTGATTATTATTACAGCTACAGGTCTCCAGGCAATGCAGTTTACACTCCTAGACTCTGCTCCCCACTCCTTTCCCACTGGGATTTGGCTTTTCCTTCCATCCCACCACAGAAAATTTTCTTTCTAATGATTCCTCCTAAAGACAAATCCTAAATGGGTGCTTTTCAGTTTCTAATCTTACTCACCCTCTCTGCAGCATTTGACAGTCCCTGGTTTCTGGGATCCCCTCTTCTTTTTCTTCTCTTCCCAATTGTTCATTTACTAATCAAAGTTCCATCCACAGTAAAAATTGTGAATATCAATGACATTTCTTTTTTGCTCCCTCCTTCCGCTAGTTCCTCTCTCTCAGCGTTTGCTGGCTCTTTTATCCTTTCCAGAACTACCTTCTCCTACACTTTTCTATCTCTCAATATCTAATTAAAATGCTGGATCTCTGCACTGAGCTATTGGCTATTAATCTAGAGGAAAAAATTCCCATTGAATTCTTTTTTTTTTTTTTGAAAGAAAGTTTTGCTGTTTTTGCCTAGGCCGGAGTGCAATGGCGTGATCTCAGCTCACTGCAACCTCCACCTCCCAGGTTCAAGTAATTCTCCGGCCTCAGCCTTTCAAGTAGCTGGGATTATAGGCACCTGCCACCATGCACAGCTTTTTGTATTTTTAGTAGAGTCAGGGTTTCACCACGTTGGCCACGCTGGTCTCGAACTCCTGAACTCAAATGATCAACCCACCTTGGCCTTCCAAAGTGCTGGGATTACAGGCATGAGCCACCATGCCCAGACACCTTCTAATTAAATTCTGTCATGCATTCATTTTAAAGTATGTCCTCTTGGGATCTATGGATTAAAAAAGTAATAAGACTTCAAGAAGTTCCTACTCTAATGGGCATGGGCAACAGAAATATAAATCAGTGACTACAATTCAATATGATATATGGTAGGTGTTAGGATAGAGCAATGTACAGGGCCATACAGGTCAAGGAAGCATAACTGTCTCACCTATATTTGTATTTTTAAGAATAATAGTTTACAACTTGAAGGAATCTCAAAACATTCCTGAAATGATACCTTTGGAAACAATACCAATATACCATTTAATAGAAGCAAATCTGAGTGTATCAGAAAGTTACCATTTCTGAATGTGTATCACACCCCAGGTACTAGGTTAAGTGCTTTATACGTAACAACTCTTAGCTTTACAATAGCTCTATGAAGGACATATGTAATAACCTTTATTATATCAAAACACTGAGCCTTAGAGAACTAGCAAGGGTTGTCTCTAGTTTTAAATCCAGATACATGGAAGTCATTCTTGTTTCCCACTTTGTTAATCTTTCCATCCAATCAGTTGCCAAGCTCTGCTAACTCTAAATATCTTTCAAAACCATCTACATCTGTCCATCGCCCCTGCCAGCATCTGGATTGAGGCCATCATCATTTTTCTGCTGGCTTATTGCTATATTCTCTTAGTCTCTTGACAGCAGCCAATCCAGAATAAGGCCCCCAAGCAGAGAAACACAGTTATTGTACTATCTTATTTAAAAAACAATGCATGTTCACACTCATAAGTGGGTGTTGAACAATGAGAACACATGGACACAGGGAGGGGCCCATCACACACTGGGGCCTGTCAGGGGGTGGGGAGGCTAGAGGAGGGATAGCAAGGGGT